AATCTAAATTATCGACTATAAAGTGGCTCGCATAAGTCATGTATATGACCCGATTTATGCGAGTCACTTTATAGTAATGTGGGTAAAGAGTGCGCAGTGGCTATGCGTCCATAAGCATAAATCCAGTTATTAAAAAAATGAAAGCACGGACACGCCAAGCCAAACCGATTTTTCAGTAAGTACCTTTTCCAACACAGAACGAGACGTCTATTCTCTATTTTTTTCATTCAATTTCCAACACAACTTGAGCACTTAACTCAAATGAAGCATAACTCTACTTACCGATTGTTCTAGTAATAAAAGAGATAATTTAGAGGAGAAATGGCGAATTTTACAGATAATTTTGTACTTCTTTTTCTGTAAAAAAAGGTATGTCTTAGTCCAATTAATATACATCATAGCTTTTTGTATTTAATTTTTTTATTCAAAATCAATTGAAAGTTTGCGTATTTTGGTGTAGGTCTCAATTAGCTTACTAAAATGTTTGTTAACCCTTTTATTTACCCCACGTCACATAATAGGACTTGATGTCATATGTATAGTAGGTATTTCACGTGATTTTTTTAAACGAAATGAATTTCATTTGCCCTATTTTACTACTATAGGTATAAAATTTTCACCGTCAGTCAATACTAGTCGTCAAACATTCATAAATATTGTAAACGTTTTACCACTATGTCAAATTTCACACCGCACCACTTTGTATCCGAACAAAGGTGCTTTTGTGCTAAACAATAATGTTAGTTAGCATAAAAACAAAGCACTCGACGGAATCGGCAAAGCAACAATGTTATCTGTTGCATGGCAATAAAGTTTCATTTAGTTTTTTAAAATGAATATTCTTTCAATAGCTGTTGAAGCAAATACAATAGGTAACTTGAATCTGTGTTTGAATTTTTATGTTTTTGTTTAAAAATAAAATGTGATTTGAATTTATCGTCACAAAAATCAGTTATCCTATTAATGTTTTAAATGTGAAAGTTTATTTATTTTGATGTTTGTCCGTCAATCACGCCGAAACTACTGAACGGATTTTGATGAAATTAGCTGACTTAGATAATAGGATACTTTTTATGCCATCAAATAATTCTCTAGGGACGACGCGGGTGAAGCCGTTGCCGGAAAGCTAGTATTTATATATTTTGATAGTTTATTACTGTTAAAGCTCATTTTGTTATTATACTCATTATCTCAAAACATCTATCTTAGATGAATTTACGTTTAAGATAAATCAATTCATATATTCAAAAAAATCTACACAGGAGTTGCAGTAGCGGAAGTGGAAGGCGTCAAAGAAATGTAACGTAAAGACAATGGCGTCTAAAAATCTTAGTAAAGTGGGGCTCTCAGCACAGCACATCAACTCACTGAACGTTACAAAGACAAAATGTATTGTTAGAGCACGCTGCTGTTGACAATGAGATGTGTTAAATTATGTAAGATGTCGTCGCGTTTGTGTCGACGCAGGCGCCGGTCACGTGGGTGCATTTGAAATGTAAAACTGCTCCAACGGGAGCCAGAATTCGGGTGTTGGATCAAAGGTGCGGTAGAGTTGATGAACAATATAAATTTGAACTTGGTAAAGAAAATGCTTTGTTTATGAAAAACGTTACGTGCATAAAAAGAGTATTTGTAAAAATAGATCATTTTTTACTAACATTTTTTCTAAAAAAAGTTAAAATTAATTGTGCTGTCTTAGACATAGATATAAAAGCGTTAAATGTAGTAAAAAAATTATTAGAGATATGTGATATTTTTCGTGGTTTGGAAAACTAATCATCTAAAAAGTAGCTTCAATCATATCACTCATAAGTCTCATTACAATAAAAACTTTAATAAGAAATATAATAAACTTTCTCAGTATTTGAACCAAAATTAAACACGATTTTTTATATTTTTTGATATAAAAATGTTACATTAAAAATTCAACAACTCGCTAAAATTTTAAAAATAATGTATCTACCATTTTTCTGTTCATTTACACTATTTTACAGTAGCGGTGATAGTGGTGTTCGAGCAATGAGGAATGTTATACTTTGTCTCTATCTTTCACGTTGACAAGTTTTTATGTCCTGTTCTCTTCCACTTTAATTAATAATCGACGTTAATATAAAAAAAACTAGCTTTTTTATTTCTATGTTGAATTAATAGTTTCTCTACGTTACTTACTATTAATTTGATATCATTACAGTTGGTAATGATGTGAATTAATCCTTGCGTGCTAGAGGCGACTCCATAGAGGCCAGCCCGCCGCGGGGGGTACATTAACACCCACTCACGCAGCGTGACGTCTCATACTGAGAGAGACTCGCAAAACACCTTTTTTCTATTCATAGAGGATAGAATTGGATAAAGTGCAACTGCTGTTTCCAACCGGTATATGGAAAATAAATTATATAAATTCATATGTGATTGGATGTACTTAGATTGATTTTATGTCATTATGACTTGTCTGATGATTGAGCAAAAGAGTTCTTTATTTATGGCTCTTACTCTCACTAACCATTATGTGTATTTATAACTTACTTTACATGTTCCACTATAAACATTGTTTTATTTTCCGTGACCCACTTGCAAACAAACGTTATTGTTTGTTTGCACCCGCGATCCACGTATGATGTAGCTTCCCCAAGGCGAATACTTTCTGATCCTCTGGCCCATCTTCATCTCTATATATTTTTTTAAAATATGATAATATAAAGTCTGATAGACAAGACATGTCTAGCAAGAATAATCTCGTGAATATAAATAAGTATTTGAGCCCGGAATCAATGCAAACAAACAACGAAATCTATAATTTGTGTATTGTGGTTATCCACAAATATTTCTGAAACTTAACGTTCCGCCTTTTCCCCCCAATTTTCAGTGTTATTATCTAAATATTGACTCCATGTATTATGTTTCTTGTTACCATTGTGCGACGGCGGGGAGTTTTTGCCAATCCTGTGGGCAAATTAATTTAATTGTTTCTCCGAGGTCGTCGCGTCGTCGTCGTACTGTAATTGCACACTTGCAACTTTTTACCCGCTAATGATAGCGAATGACTCGGAACATATTTTCCGATTAGCGTTTTGTTGACGTTTCTTTTAATTATAGTTTTATTTGATTCAAGCTGAGTGGAAGGAAAACGAACGAGGAATGTCGGTGATTCAGCGGTTCTTTTGTAATTGCGGGGCATCAAATGATAAAAGAGAGACATGAGAAATTTAGATATAAAGTCTAATTCTAAAATTATTTACAAAGTTAATTTATTGAACTGGCAACAGCTGATTAGAAAAACTTATGTGTGTAGAGGTAATATCATGAATTGTATTTAAGTATGCCCGATAAATGATAATGAGCTCCAAACACATCGATGTACGTTCAAGATAAGCGTGGACTCATTGTAATGTCAAGAGCAACTCTGCGATGCTATTAATGTGAAGTACTATGAATTAACATTTGACTATAGCCAGGCAGGCAACTATCGTGATATTTGCATGTGGCATCGATCGTACTGCGCGCGCGCCGCCATATCTGACGTTTTAATTATGATTCCCGCATCTATCTCTTCTTATCATATGGTCCAACGATGAGTGGTAAGCGGTTCACAATTAAATGCTAATTACGATACTTTCAATTAAACTTAATGATTATGACCCTTCGAGGCGTAATACATTATACATGTCTTGATATCACAAGTTTATACAACTCCAAAAATAAGTTTTATATTTTAAATACGTGAAAGGAATTATTCTCCTATATTATTCAATTCTCACTTTTATTTCCATATTTATTTTATCTAGATTTTAAACGGATAATATTATATTTTTCTCGCTAGATGAATACCATTGGACCATTCTCCTCACCGCGCAGTCCACGCATGCGTCCTTAATTAGGCATTCCGCTGGCGTCCGGCTGCGTACGCGATCCGTGCAGGCGGTGCCTTTGACGCGCTTGCCCCGTCTCACTCACACAGTGCAGCTATTCATACCCAAACCACCAATTCAGCTTGAGCTCTCCAACTCTTTCACCATCAAACACAATCCCTTACGCTCACAGGTCATGTTATATTAAACAAAAAGACTGGCGACTCTACATTTCTGATTTCTGACGAATGTGTATTAAGTTAAGGTTGAAATTACGCTATTGTGTATTGATGTATCAAAGGTGTTACTGAAGTGATGTAATGAAGGGACCTAATTGTGTATTCTACTTGGGATGCTCGGCCGAAAGATAAAAGCGACGGAAAAGCCTGACAGCTATCTCCCTCACGTATCTTTGAAGCTGCTAAAAGTGGGTAATAAATACTTAGTTAATTTATAATTAGAATATAAAATGAAGTTATCCATTACTTATATCACGAAGCAAAGAGTTTATGATTGTTGCAAGACACATCTTGTCTTTCACACTTTTATCGTATTTGGTCGAATACAGACGCACTATTATCCCTCTGGCAATCTAAGTTCTACTAAGTACTGCGAAATCATTTAATATAAACATTTACATTATATTAAATCAGAAAGTTTCTTATAATTGCAGGCCTAATAATACGTGTCCTACTAAAAATTCAACAACTTTCCGTGGTGGTTCCAGATTTCCGTGGTCTATTCAATCATTATATGTAAGAGTAATTTTAATACTAAAACTGTGTAATAAAATTTTCGGACCTGTCCATTATCCAACACTTTTATTGCATCAATTTTGTAAAATAAAATCCATCCCCATGGGCAGATACACTTAATTTTATACGTTGTTCATTTTCTCTCACATCCCTTTCGCTCGTACGTCTAGAGAGGGACACATAAAATTGCTCTCACTGATTGCAGTGAGCCGTACACGAATTAGGCTCTCTTCCTTTTTTCTTTTTCTTCTTAATGCCCTGTTCATGCGTTCAGACCTTTTATCGGAACATATGCATGTGTCTGAATGCACCGGCCGGCCGACCGGTTTCATTCCTTTCGCCTTTGAGATGCCGCGCCACATTCGTATTTCGAATCAGTCCGCTCCGAATCCCCGTGGAGTGTAGACGTGTTTCCGTATTAAAGAAAAGTTTTAATATGTTTACGATTCATCAGTGTTTACAAACAGTGATTTAGTGACTGAATTGTTTACTATGATATACTAAGTTAATGTTTCGTTGCTGTGACACGTTGCAATGGCTCGGATAATTTTCTTTATGCTGTTTGGTGTGTGGCTGGTGGCTGCAGATCAGGAGACTGAAGGTGGAAAATGTGAGAGGATCAAGCTGCCCCTCTGTCAAGATTTGGGATACAATTGGACTGCCATGCCAAACCTCATGGGACATAAAGATCAGAAAGAGGCTGAAGATGCGGTAAGGATCTAGTTTCATTCATTTTTGTACTATTTTACCATAAATACGACTAATAGGCACAAATCTAATGTGAATTATCGTTATCTGCTTTTATTTTTGCAGTTCTATACATCAAATAATAATAACTCTACATATTGTTATATTTTGTGTTTAAAATATCCAACAGTTTTTGACTCTATATTACAAATACTAGAAATCTCTACATTTAGATATGACAACATTTAATCAGTTTACGGCCCTATTTTTGAGTTGGGTAGATATAACCAGAGGGGGTTAATTTTAAATCATTCACCCTCTATGGGAAAGTTGATTTATTAGATACAACTCTACTTTATGGTCCGCTTAACAGAAATGGATTAGTAATCCGCTATTGTCGAAACGGTTTGGTGTTTAAAACAAGATATGTTTTGTGATGTAGTGATATCCCATAAGAATGAGAGTTTGATAGAAGGACAAAAGATTTAAAAAAGTAATATGTGCGAATAAGATAAACCATTTATTCTAATATTCATATACTTATTTATTCACAATTTCTTTGAATATTAAAAATATAATTTATTTTCAATGAACACGGTCAATTTGATGAAATGTCTCTTACTTTTATCAATTATGCTTAATAATGAAAACATCAATAATACATCCAAACAGATTACTGGGATACTGTTTATACCTAACAATATATTGTTATAACTATGTAATATTATCATAGATATAACAATATATTGTTAGGTATAAAAATATATAACATTTACAAGCAAAGCGGCGCGTGGGCAAAAGATTTGTGATATCAGTGAATAACTGAGCGGCTTATCACGCGGCACATATCAAAGGGTCCGTCGATCTTGATCTGCCGCTACACTAGCTCTTACAACCGGCTCTATTTGCAATTCTGAAAACCATTGCTTACTATACAAGATTTATTATCCAGTAAAAGTTTAATTTCAGTAGCTGTGCGTTTGTTGACAGGCTTGAAATAGTTGACCGTCAATGGAACTCTAGTCGTATTATTGACTAAAATTAAAATAACTCTACCAATAGTGCAAGAATTCACTAAAAAGTTAGTAGAGCATTGATTATGTAACATTAATATTAAAAATATTTTTTATTGAGGACATGAAAAACACTTCCAACAGACAAAAAATGGAAAAAAAACTCGTTCTCTTAATTATCTAGGTTAGTATCGTACTCGAGGCCTAATGGTGCGAACAACTTCCACTCGTCATTCTGTTACGATGTCATTCGAGTACAAAAGATTAATTATAATGAGTGGCATGGTACCTAAGCCAACACTACTGCTACAGTACGTTTTAAATCGAGTACACGATAGCGGTATCTTTACAACGTAATAACGCAAGAGCAGGCATTTATTTATATTTATATCCGATATCGAATCGCTGCCTATCTTTGCCTTAAGTGCCGATATGTATCGGGCTAATGCTGCTTTATCGCCGGCATCGTTTTAACTCAATGTACCTATAGGTATCTAAGTACGTCTTCACTTTTATATTATATTCGCTCAGCTGATAGCATTAGGCGTACTTATTTATTATCGTCAACGCGACTCTAGTACGAGCTATAATTGACAATAATGGCATTAGTTTTTAATACCATTATAATTCAGTTTAGTCTTAATAAGTTACGAATGCGATATGGCGTTTTATCTGTAGGTAATTGATTATGTTTTTGTAGATCGCTGTTTAAAAAAGGAAAATCGTGTTTCGTGCTCCATACACTCGCCGATAGTACCGTTAAATCTACTGTTTCAGTCACGTTTGTTTCTATATCTTTCCCAAATAATGTTACGTGCTGAGATGTTAATATTTTTCATGTTCTAAAATATACCTTACAGTATTTGTAGTTGAGTTGACAATGGCAGGTTCTCGTGTTAGTATATCTGCGATTGTGTAGTTTTTACAGATCTCCTAAAGTCTTCGAGTGCGGTCCGTATATCTGAGTTAAGATCTGAAGGTAGTTGCTCTAGTGGGCCGGCCCATTCACGAGCTGCTCATCTGAGCTGTTACGTTGCGGACGTTCACCTTTAGATTGGGCAATTAAGGCGGGACCCGGCCGATGATTTGTAACATTCGCTGTAACACATCGACCGACAAATTGTCTCGATATAAATCATAAAACGCATTAAGCTTATTACTATTAAGTACGTACCGAATGTGGCAACAGTTCAAATGAAACAGTTAATAAATCTCTAGTCTTAGTTTCCAGTTTGATGTCTTGAAGTTAATCTGTAAAATTCAGTACCTTTTCCCTAACAGCATTTACGTTAAACACCCACGGAGGCAGGCCAACTAACGTTTCGATGGTAATAAGCTGATATCGTCTACCTCACACTTCTGTCCCTTACCATTAAGGCTAGTTTCGGATTGGTAACATATCATACATCATTGTACCTTAGCACCATACCAATCCGCATTGGGCAATCTGAAACAAGGAAGATACCACAACACCCACACCCGAGAAAATATATAAAGAATAGTTAATTTTCTATATGTCGTCAAATAAAAATTTAAATTTTGTAATGCAGTGCAATTTTCTCCGCAAAAATGATACACGCTCATCGTTTAAGACGCCTTGGCGGAGACTGATTAGACAGCGTGAACTTCCAATTCCATTTAAAGAAAAAAACAATTTAGCTTCCTTTAGATCATATGAAAACCTATTTTTGTATATAATTTTTATATAGTTGAGATGAAATATATTTGTCGTAAGATCGATCCAAAAAACCTATTTAAGAGTAGTCTTTGTGATATTTTTTCTATGAAACCGATTATTGTTATTCATGTTTCTATATTTAGCAAACCATCGATCATATGTTTATATTTATATGTTTGATTTTTATTTGGCAAATATTGGCATAGCCTTAGAATTAAATTTGTCTAAAAAGTGTTAATTTTAAACAACCTCGCCTTAACACTTCAGTGCGATCATTCGGCATTGGAGACTTTAAAAGTGGTTCAAATAAATAAGTTATACAACACGAAAATAACAAACGCAACAGCCATTATCTGTAGGCAATATAACATGTTCTGCAGAGTTCTTTAAAAATCCTAACCCGAATTCGAATTGGATTTGGGTGGATATTTACAGAATAGCAGAGCAGGAACCGATAACTCGCACAATAAAATATTGCGAGATAACATTACCCTGAAGAACGGCATACGATAACCCATTTCCCTAATTCTCCCTGCCCCTTTTGTTGTTTAAATTGCTTGAGTTTTTTAAGGATGAAAGGCACGAAGTGTTATTGAGAAGTTCGTATTCTTTAGTGCACCCTATCATTAGGGCAGGTAAGCGAACGTAATATCAGTATAATGGGCCGGTGTTTCGTCGGTGGAAGAAAGACTTTGAAGCTATTATTTCTTGTATTTGTGAGGTCTTCGTTTGTAACGTTATCTGAAACACGTTTCACGCTTCTGTACGCAACAATGTCGACTAAGTATAATATCATCCCTTGAAACTATTTTGAATATATTTAAACTTTTTTTTTATAATAATCGCTAGTTAACTTCTTCTAATGATTGTATAGATTTTGGTAGTTAATATATGTATTTCGGAAAAGAATGAACAGAGAGAACAACAAATTAATTAGATTTTACATAATCGTCCCTTTTAAATGAAAAACTATATTAAGTATTTATTCCAAAAAATAAGGATATATAATTAATTAGTATTCCTTTCATTAAAGTCAAATAAAAAAATCGAAATGTACGAGTATCAGACGCGCATTAGATCAACATAACACAATCAAAACAAAGTTAACGCTTATGAAAGTCAGATCTAAAGGCGTTTCTCTGAATAACTTCACACTTTTTATGATGGAATCGTGTCTTTGAGCGACCGCCTACCTGTGGTAATTAGGAACAGCAATTTGTGCATTTTTTTGTATTCGTTCGGTCGTTTTTTTTACTTTCGGTGCGCAGGCGCCGCGAGGCGGTAGTTTGAGCGTACATCCTTGTATTTTATTCCCAACCTTGGATAATATACCATAACATAGCTATTGATATACTTTGTTCATAATAATGCAGTTTCAATGTGATTATACTAATGTTATTATGACTATTTTTTGTATCAAATATATAGAGAACAAAGACTTATTTTTTCACTGCTTAGCTAAAATATTTTTTATTTTAATCTAAAAAAAAATTTGCCATAATAAAATCTTAAGAGAGAGTTATAAATTTTATGGTACGTACAATATTTTATCAAAAGGCAAAAACACTGCAAAATCTACTTTTTTATTTTAATTAACGAAGTACAAATTAATTACACTCTTAACAACTCACAACTTTACTGTAATGAAGCCATTATTAATTCCGTTGAAGAAGTGTCGGCGAGATCAAAGCTCACGATTACTGCACGATGTGCGCGCGCATATCTCGGTTTTATTATATTGCAGCTCCGTGCGTCGACCCAATGTGCAATTTTATGGGGTTACCATGCATACTAACTTTCTAGTTTGTGTTAGTCCGTCATATTGTCATATTATTGTAGTCCATGTTATTTCTTTATTTTGCAGTAACAACAATCACTTGTATGAAATAGCAAAACTAAAAAAATGTAACAAAGTAATATGAGATATTATAGAGAGGCAGAGTTTGTAACTAAGGTAGAGTTTGTAGGGGTAATCTTAGAAAATACTGATCCGGTCATTAAAATTCTTGCACTTACTATGGGAAGCTACATCATACGCGGGCAGGTGAAATAGGTTACAACGTGCTCGGGCGAAGTCGAGAAAAAATTTTTTCAACGACTTACGTTTGACTATTTCTATGTTAATTATAAAAAGAAAACAATATAAATGTATTAGTAAATACATATTAGGTAAGTAAATATAAATGAAACCGTTTAAAAGTTGTTTCATTCATGAAAATATAAGAAATTAATAGGTAAATAGCTTTTTTCCATGTGTTTTACTACTTAAGTTTTCAAACTATCGAAAAGATTCTGTAATTTGATCCAAAGTGTTGCTATATTAAATTAAATCA